ACAGAGCTATATGAAATTAAAGAAGATGGCTGACATCGCCTTTGTAATGCAGTTTATTTAGTTTCTAAGTGTTTTAATGTTACACGATGAAGGTCCACATTCCAGGCAAGGCGCTGTTCAACTTTGACCACCTCATATCATCAATCAGCTGTCAATAGGAACACAGTCCCGCCATTTACCAATTTTTCACATAAAGAGTAAAATCCTGAATCAACAGCAAAGACTTAGTTTTTGAGAAAGAGAAGAAAACTACTTTGAGAGTGGAATCTATTTCTGAGAGAAAATGTTTTCAACGTTGATAGCAAAATACTGTATTTGCATTGCATAACTGTCAAAATATACCTTTTAGAGAGCTTTTTTCATTTGAAATGAAAGTCTTCTCCTGTGCAAACAGGATCAGCTTGCAGGTATGTGCTGTAATTATCAAGGCAGTATGTAATCAGCAGTCTGAATCAGTTCTTTTAGGAAAATCATAGCGACACAAAGGGTCATAATACAGCCAGCATGTGGGAATTTTAGAAGAGCTCCTTGGTCAGCTCCCAGCACTTTAAGCCTGCTTCGATACAAGATATTTATGAATGTACAATACATCTGCAAAAATATCCAAAATTCATGCAACAAAACCTTCTGCCTCTTCAAGCAAAAATGTTCAATTTGATTTTGAAGGTGAGTATTGCATATAATTCCCTCTAGTCTACTGGGCTTATTGTTGGACACTGCTGGTTGATCTTAAGGTAGCTTAAATCAAGTGCTTCTAAATTAATCCGTATGTTAAGGTGCACAGTAAATCAACTGCCCGGACTGTTGACAGCTTGATTTCCAATAATCCTTATTTTTTCGACCTGGTCAGTAAATGTACCATAGAGGTCTGAGGTTAGGGCTGAGTTACACATCCTTAATCTGAACACCATAAATGAATAAGGACACTTAAGCCATGGCAGAAGAGGATCAGTAGTCATCATAAGCGTTATCTGCTCAGTGCTAGCAGTAGGGAAGGAGCTAGGAAAAGGAAGCAGTATCCTTCCTATCACCAATTCAGTCAAAGCTGGGAGCTCCTAAAATTCCTAGCCACCACTGGGGGCTAATCAGTTACCCAAAATAATTTGCCTGACATGATGTATAGGCATAACCCACTTCATGTATTTTAACAAAACATAAATTATTTCTACTACTCTATGTGACAAATACAAAGGTAGACACTTTCATGTGCGTTTGGGGCTTTTTAAGGAAGATTTTAAGCCATTCACTGCATTTATGGAACATTTGTTATTTGAAGTTATTTTCTGGAAAGTGGTGGTCAGAATTTGACAGGCATCATTTAAGTGCATGTCTCTCGTCTTTAAACCTCCATAAGACTGACAGCCTTCAGCAAAGAAGTCCAAAGTTTCTTTCCTGAATAGAGTTCTTACTTATGACTCCAGAGAAGGTGAAGGGATAGAAGCTAGGGGAAAGAGGTAGGAGCTGCAATTTGATTTATTTGGATTGGGCCAGAGACTTAACTCAAGTTAAATATATCAGACAAAATGTTTACAAGTCACATGAACCTTTACAGCAGGTAGATCTCCCTCTGCAGCAGAAAAAATATTTGGTTCACAGCACTTTGTGCACAGGCCAAACCCACAGAACATTGAGAAGGTCTGACAATATCTAAAGAGAAGAACTGTAGTTTTATAATAACTGATTTGGGGCAGCTTCTAAACAACTGCATAGTTTGAGACATTAAGTCAATCATTGGTACTAAAGAACTAGTTCATCTGATTTGTTACCACACAACCAAGATCTGGAAAATCTTCCAAACTGCTCTTCTCAGATTTAGGAAAACTGGCAATGATGTTGTTGGTTTGACTCAGTACTGCACCAAATTGTTGTTTGCCATGTACCAAAATTAATAGTTTTTCAAGATGAAGCTAAGTTAAATTTGTCACTGTTACCATGAATTATGAAACTACGAAAATTAGGTATAAGGAAGTTATCATCCAGAATTGTAGAAGTGTTCCTTAATAGGGTAGTGCATTAAAGCATCTGCCATTAACATTTTTCCTGCATTACTTTACTTTTATGCTTTAAGTAGATTTAAAAATGGTACTTAAAACACATTTACTTGAGTAAAAAGCTTAAGTTGATACTCTAACTTCCAATAAAGTGTTTTTAAACAGTAGGATTTATACGTCTACTTCAGTAATAAACAGTTTTGACACCTCTGGTGATAATGGACTCTAGACAAGACAACATTCAAGGTCATGAACAAAAAGCCTGGCGCCTGAATGTTGTATTGGCTTGTAAATTGTACAAAGGAAAATTGAAATAAAATAGCAATTTTGGACCAAGGATATTTTTATTTATCAAAGTTTTGCAGCTGCGTCATTTACTAAAATAATTGTAGTTGTGGGTGTTTCCAAAAAGAGCTTTTAGTGACTTTTTAAATCTCCTGATCGACATCAGAGTGTCTGTCTTTGTTCAGCAGGGTGCTAATGCCTTTGGTCCTTCTCTGCTACATCAGCCTATCACAAAACAAAATGTCAGAAACACTTTTGTTTTTGACAAAGAAAACGTCTCTTTGGAAGATATTTGTCTTTTAGGAGTTTCAACGTACCAATGCCGGCTCACTATTTTCACTGTCCACCATCTTTGTTCAGGTAAGCTGCGGTAAGGGAAGAGGGGGGACTAAGTGTCTGTGAGTATGTATGACACATGAAAATAGTTTAATTAATATTAGTTTCTAATACATTTCCTGAAAGAAAACATCTATTTAATATCAATTTTAAGGAAGTGTAATCCTACTAACCATATAAAACACATGTCCCTGAGTACTGTAGCTCTGTGATGATAAAAGTTGTTAGGAAGATATCAAATTTAACTTAAAACAGATATTCACATTTTTATCACTTTTAACGAGTAAAAATATTTCTGGAGCCACGATTCAACTGGTTGATAATCAAATTAAATACTGAAAAACAAAATAATTTGAAGTATTAAATTAAGTAATTTATCTAATTTGTTGTTTAAACATATTAAACCTACCAGAGCTACTTTGATGCCCTTGTTTTGACTGAAACATCAGATAAATTTTTACCTTTTGATGCACTAATGTGGTCCATCTAGTAATTCCTTCACAACCTTTTGGTTTAAAACACTTCTACCTCTATCAGCAGACCTCGAGTTAATATGTAATGTTTGATAACCTATAAAAAAACCCGAAAAAATTTGAATCTTTAAAAGCTAAATCAGCAGGTCAGAGCTTCAAGGAACTGCTCACCTGGATCAAGCAGAAGAAAACTTACTGGTCGATCTAAAAAAAAATCCTAAAATCAGTATACCAAAAAAAAAAAAAAAAAAAAAAAAGAAAATCAGTCAATATGAATAAACCTGTTTTATCCTTAGTTTTGACAAGCAACTAACAGAATAAACATGAGGATGCTGCTTGCTTAAATTATGTGTTTATTTATTCCACTTGTTAAAGCCATCTGTATGCAGAGGAGATTGAAAAGAAATGTTGCATTTAAAGTAAAGATGTGGGCTTGTTATACAGAAATAATGTAAATAAGTTCTTTGAGGTTAAGAGTCACATTACATGCTGATCAAATATATTTAGTTTGCGACATTTTTGTTTAATTGGTTGAAAATAATGATTGCTTCTATCATCTCTCATATGCTCTTATCCACGTATCTCTGTAGGGGAAGAAACAAACTCTTAATAGTTCCAACCACATTGGAGAGCTGCTAATCAACACTTCTCATGATGTCTGGTCGTCTTCCCCTCTGAACCTTCTCCTCCTTCCATCTTTTCCAATTATTTGTTCACCCAGCATCTTTTTTCCCCCATCCGTTCCTCCCTTGAATCCATGCAACTTTTGCAGCCCCTCTTTGCTCGCGTTTCTTCTTGTCCTTCTTCCCTCTCACTTCTCCACATTTATCCTGCTCTTCCCGCTGCCTCTCATCTCCTGAACACGCCACGGTGGTCGCCGCTCAGGCAATTAAACAGTGGGAGTTTTTAGTGTGGCAGATGTGCAGGACGGATGAGGGAGGACAAGCGGCACAGCACACAGGGAGAACTGCGCTTCGTCTAGAAGCTGGGAGCTGAGCCGACAAGGAACACATGCCCGTCTAAAGTCTGAACTGAAATATTTCTGCTCATTTAAAATATTCAAACCAGCAGAAATCTTAAATGAAAGATGCCCTCCAAGCAAGAGATCAAGCAAATGTTCATATGATTTGCAGTTTTAGTCACATAAAATTAATTTAACCTGCTAATTTAGAACATATCTGCACTAATGGTGTCAGGAGAGAAATCATTGTTTTCTGCATGATCCGAAATGTCTTAATTATCTCAGTGTCATGAGTCAAGCAGCCATGACCAGTGGTCCTCTAGTTGATTACTGCCTGCACCTCCAGTTGTTCTTGCTGCTGCTGTGCTCATTAACTTAGGGCCCCAACAATAAAGAAATAGCGGCAAAATCCTTACGCCAAACCCTCAGGGGGCCCGACAATATTTACACAACAATGTAATTTGCAAGAGATACATGGTAATTACAGCCGGGTGGCTTGTAGCGCAGCATCGCCTGTACGTTAGATGCTGAAAAAATGTGCTTTAGAGCTTTAAATCAATGGAAACATCAAAAGAGTGGAGTAAATGGTTAAGCTTTGGCAAAGGCCTCATCAGGGTGTATATTATTTTGACATAAAATTTTATGTTTGATTATTCTCTGTTTTAACTAAAAAGTCCCAAAGAATATAAGAAAAACAATATTTGACCTTTAGTGCTGAATGAGCTGCTGTTTTAACAGATCCCCGCCAGCTTTATGTCTCCACTGTGGATGTATTGATTGATCCCGATTGGGTCAGCGGGAGATGGATGATCAGCCCACTCCTGCCAACACCCATGTTTGACCTTACCCTGGGGAAAACTCATCCCCAACATCTAAAAGAACAGATTAAAGTGACACTCCACCTTTACAGAGCACATTAACCTACATATTAAAACACCTTTATCAAACAGCTACCTGTATTGTTTGGCGGTTGTAGACTTTGACTACGTGGAAGTTAAAACTGTAAATTCCTTTCCGTGGTGCGATGAAATTACTTCGTTCCTCATCGAAATTCCTCCCAACATTTACTAAAACCTGGAAAAGAACAAAAAAAATATATGCAATTATTTTAATTGTGCTTTTTTTAGAAAAAAAAATATTTTGTGAGATTACAATTACATTTTTATAGGAAAATACAAGAAACTTTTGTTATTTAAAGAAATGATATTGGATCTGAAAATTGAAATAAACTCTGGTGCTTTTCTTTCAAAATGTATTTATTAAGGGTTTTCTGTCATGCTATTGTTAATTTTTCTTTACGGATTTAGTTTTTTTCAAATAACCTTCCCTTTAAAATGTTAATTCTTTCATATTTTACTGTCATGATTATTTCAAAACAGTCTGCTGGGCCTTTCTGCAACACAGCATCAGTATTTCCTAATTCTTTTTAGAAATTTAAGGGCAAATTCAAGCAGAAGAAATAATGTGAAGCTTTCATTTTCGCAACTGGGTGTCTGCTTTAGTGATTAAGATAACAGAGTGGGTATTTTAAGGGAAAATGCAGCAGTTTTTTATGTAACAATCAATAGCCCTAGGAATTTTTTAAATCAGTGTGTTAATTTAAATAAGAACACCAAAAATTGTCCTGCTGTAAAAGTTGTAAAAAAAAAAAAAAAAAGTTTTCCAACTGCAACAAAAACCAGATGAATAGGACTACAGGGAATAAAGACTGGTTTCTTTAAACAGTTAAACACATGTAATCTGAGCAAAATTTTAAGCTTTTTAATTTTCTTTATATACTATTTCCTTTTTTTCTTATTGCATTAACGTCTTGTCCTTATTTCTATAGTGTTAAGCATTTCTGTTTGGAGCTTTGATAGAAAATAGAAATATGAAAGCTTTGCGGATCGATGTGTGAAATGATTATGATTATAACAACCATTAAAAAAATAATAGTGAGAGTTTTTTTGCAGTTATTTAAGAAAGCAAAACATTGTAATCTCTCTTTAATCTGCGCAATTCACCCGACATTGTAAAAGAAAACGACCCAGCACCAAGTTACTCTCTGGACTTTCAGAACCCAACAGATAAAGAGGATTTCCACTCACCCGGTCAAAGTAGATGACCATGGTCCGGTTGCTCATCTCAGAGGGTTCGTGGTTGGTGTTCCGGACAGCAGAGAAAGCCACCTTCGCGCTGCCGGAGCGCACCGAGATGCCGAGCGCGGTGCCCGTCGGGTCTGAAGTCGGGTTGGAGTCGCACACCACTAAACATTTCCCCTCCAGCACGATGGGCTCGGTCTCATTTTGAGCTCTAACCGGGTCAGCAGCGAGCCAGGCGGCACTAAGCAGGCACAGCGCCAACATGCCGAACCACAAACACAACCAAATAGTTCCACTTTAATGAAAAAAAAAAACAAAAAACTGAAGTTTAAACTTGCAGGAGCCGCTCCTTTCTTCTTAGAGTAAAAGTAAGCTCCAACCCGGACACATTCGCTCCGGTCCAGTCCCGGTCACACCTGTTCTCTTCCTCCTGTCTCACCTGTCAGCGGCTCCTGTTCCAGAACGCACAGAGGGAGAGTCGCGCGCCGAGCGGGCGGACAGCAGCACTCATAGCAGCGCGCGAGGGGGGGAAGCTCCGTCTGTTCGCCGGCGCGCGCCTCAATTATTGATAAGCAGGATGTGGAAGTCCGCAACACAAAAGGCTCGAGGGGAGACCCCTCCTTCCGCACGGAAACCGCCACTCACCGCAGCTTTAGCGCGTGGCGTCTGCGAGATTTTCCAATCACCAGGTGCCGACCGCCCCTTTCACTGCCCTTCACACCCCCAATAACTCTATCTATCTATCTATCTATCTATCTATCTATCTATCTATCTATCTATCTATCTATCTATCTATCTATCTATCTATCTATCTATCTATCTATCTATCTATCTATCTATCTATCTATCTATCTATCTATCTATCTATCTATCTATCTATCTATGATACTTTGAATAACTATTGTTTCATATAATCAAATTCATTTTAGAAGATGCCATTCAGAAGATGCCTAAACGAAACACATGATTTTAGTTCTATTCTAACCTGCAGTGGCGTGCACAGACATTTTTTGGAGCAGGTGCTCAGTTTGAAAAAAGGGCACCTTATAGGTTGCATGCGTCGCCAACAGCCAAACACCATCTGATGTCAAACGATCTTCTGCAGTCTATAGGTAGAAATGCAACATTGGTTTCAATTAAATAATGAAAATTTTAAATCCACTAATATAATATATAATACTAATGTAATAAGAAAGAAGCACGATTTACATGAACTTACTGCTCTGAGTTATCAGGTGAAAGGAACAGATTAGGCTATACAACACATTTGCTTCTAGTTTACATGTAATTGATATTATAAGTCTTTAAATGTGTGATGATTTACTGTAAACATAGCGAAATTTCAATATCTCCATCCCCTGGATTGAGTTTACATGATTAACTAAGAGCCTCAGGGTGGGTGGCCTTGGTCGTAATTGCCTTATTGCTTGCACTCATAAATCAGGCAGGGTTCCAAGGTACATAGAAATAGAGAAGTCTAAAGCAAAGCCCATGATTCCAGAATATCTTTAAGTTTATATTCTCTTGATTTGAGTGGGTATATATGAATGTTTGCAGATGAACTAAGCTTTACATTTAAAATATGGAAAAACCCAACTCTATTATTTTATTTTTAAAGTGCATGATATGTAATAATCTTGTTTTAAAGTTAAAAACTTTTTATTAAAGTCCTTTTTAAAAATTGTGATAATATGGCCTGATGTTTTGCCTTCTAGGACGCAGTGGGTAGTGCTGCTGCCTTGCAACAAGAAGGTTCTAGGTTCAATTCCCAGGCTAGATTCTTTCTGCAGGGACTTTGCATGTTCTCCCTGTGTATGCGTGGGTTCTCTCCGGATACTACGGCTTCCTCCCGCAGTCCAAACCCCAGTTGGGACGAAGAATGGCAGAAAAAATTGTAAATTTGGCCCTCTGTATGCTTTTATTTAAAATGTTTAACAGTGCAGTTGTCATAAAAAGGTCATCTATATCACTCGTGTCTTTTTAGATTTACTGTAATGGTCCCTCACAGGGAGCATCACAGCAAATCAATAATTACATCTATGAGATGCTTTAGATACATTTTTTTTCCAAATTTAATAAAAAATTTGCATTTTAAACAGTTCATTGGTGCCTGGTAGAGGCCATTAAAGATGTTATGCTATAAAGCAGGTCATACACACTCCGGTTTGTTTTTAAAAAATATAAATATAAAAAAATATATAACCGCGGATGTCTGGGAGACAGTGATTCGCCTACATGTTATCAATGCTGGCATACCATAATGAATAAATTATGAACAGTTTAGTTTGTGCCTTCAAGTCGTTGCCCATAGGAAGACGTTACTTGGATATAACCTAATGGAATATCTTCAGAACAGCTCCAAATGACACAAAACTCATATGGGTGAGTAGAACATGATGTAATAACGTAAAATCAAGGGCCCGATGTAAAAAAAAAAAAGGCGTTCCCCTTTAAGTAGTATAGAAAACATGACATGTTCTGACTTAACTTTCAGGCCCACACGCAGAATAAAGGTTAGGGTTAGGGTTCTTTACAAGGAAAATGAGTAACAGACAATTCTTGGTCCTTCAGGAGTGTGGAGGAGGTTAAGTGAACGGTGGTGTCTGGAATGAGAGTGGAACTAATAGTGGCCAGAAACTTTTGAATAGGAATTAATAAAAGTAAGCTTAGTAAGCTCCTCTCACTGTCGCTACAAGCATGCTTAGTGTGAGGGATTGCATTTGAATCAATGAGTCAATGCAATCAACTGGTTTTCCTTAGATAGAGAACTTTGAATCAATTTGACTGCATGATCTGGTGAACTGTAAAGGGCCTTGAGATTACATGTATTGTGAATTGGTGCTATATAAATAAACTGAATTGAATTGAACTTCTGATTGACTCTGAGTGTGGGGTGGAGAGAAGATGGACAGGTCCCGTATGGAGAAAGGTTGAAGATATTCCTTTGTTAGTGCAAGGTGAGTGGTAATACAGAGAACCAGGAGTCTGATGGAGCCAGGCAGGAAATTATGAATGGCGGAGCGGGCAGCAAGGTAACTTGCAGGAAAATCCACAGGAGGTGACTCAGAGGAACTGATTCTTTCTTAAAATCCAACAAGACAAAACCTGGAGACAGCAAACACAAGGGCTGAGCTACTTCTGGCAAATTCACAGGAGATAGCAAACAACTACTGAAGTTAAAACAACAGATGGCCAGAGAGGCTACCAGTAAACTGTGATGCATCCCTCACACTCAAACACACACACATGCACAAACGGGAAACCTAACACTAGCCCCCTATTAAAGACAGCCCCCCGGCAGTCAGGATGAAGATGACCCATGAGAGGCCTTAAAATCTCTAATGAGATCAGGGTCTGGAATGGACTGGTTTAATGAGAGAGACATGAAATACAGGGTGGATCTTCAACCCATCAGGAAGCTTGAGCTGTATGGCTAAAGGACTGAGAATACAGGTTATTTTAAAGGGACCAATAAAGTGAGGGGACAGTTTACGATTTGATGATCTGAGATTGATGCCACGAGTGGAAAGCCAAACTTCTTATCTAGGTGAGTTTCAAGGTGCAGAGGCACATCTAGAGATGTCCGGTTGAGGGCAGCATTGGTTGGTGTCCTGATGTGTCTGCAATGGAGGAGATGATAGTGGACAGGGGTTACAGATGTTTGTTGTTCATCATATGGGAATAGAGTGAGCTGATAAACTAGAGATGACTCAAAAGGCTGTTGTGGGCGTACTCCACCCAAGATAACCCTCAGTTCAGGGATGAAATCCTAAACTAAGGGTTATCTTTACTCCAAGAGCGGTGCCGAACTCCTTCCAGACCGCAGAAACAAACTGGATCTCTTTCTGACAGGATATCGGTGGGCATACCATGCAGACGAAACCCATGTTTGGTTAAAACAGTGGTTCCCAAAGTGTGGGGCGTGCCCCCTAGGGGGGGCGCAATGCCATTGCAGGGGGGGCGCGGTAAGCGGTATGGATGAATGAAGAAAAAAAAAAAAAGGGCTTGCTTTGACTGAGCATAATGGACAGTTGTGACACTGCAAACCAGATTTGAGAAGATCTACAGCAACAAGCAGGCTCACTACAGCCACTGAAAAGATGGGAGGATTAAAATACAAAGAAAAAACTCTCAGGGAGCTGTTCAATGTTTTCACTCCATTTTGCACAGAGGCTTTTTTAATGTATTGATGATAGCAAAGTTAAATATTGTTACAAATAAAAAAAAAGAAATATGTTTAAAATAACACAGACAACAAAGAATCCTCTTCTAATCTACAGTATAGAACTATGAAAAAAATACAGTTACACAAAAGTGTTCCACTGTAAAGATGGTGTGTAGTTTGTTTTGTTGCAACCTGAAGTGTGAAATAAACTTCAGTGGAGTTTGAAAACAAAATATGTGTATAGGTTTATTATATCTGGTTGAACGCTGTGTGTGCCCAGTTGATTTTTTTTTTTTTTTTTTTTTTTTTTTTTTTGGGGGGGGGGGGGGGGGGGGGGGCGTGGAAATTTTATTGTAATCCAAAGGGGGGCCCAGAAGAAAATCTTTGGGAACCACTGGGTTAAAAGATGAGCAGTTTGCATGGCAGTGGGAAGTTTGCGTAAAGGAACAAGATGGCAAGCCTTAGAGAACTATCACTTATAGTTAATATGGTGGTGAAGCCCTTTGAATGTGGTAGTCCAGTAACAAAGTGTAACGCTATATGTGACCAAGGACGTTGGGGAACTGGAAGAGGTTGAAGTAACCCACTAGGGGAGTGATTGTGGGTCTTATTGCAAGAACAAATGGGGTAAGCGAGCACATAGTCTGTGATATCTTTAAATGAAGATGGGCACCAAAAGATTCTTCCGATTAAAAAGACTGTTCTGTTTATGCCTGGATGACATGATAATTTTTCTGTATGGGCCCAATGAATGAGACGAGCTCTAATGGATCATGGAAAATAGAGGCAGTTGGATGGTCTATTAACAGGATCGGGTTCAGACTGTTGAGCTACCAGTACCTGGTCTCTTATTTTCCAAGAAGGAGTTTCGATAACACATGATGATGGAATGATGGTAGATGTATCATGATTAGGGAAAAACTGTCTCAAAAGCATGTCTAGTTTGGTTTTCCTGGACCCTGGCCTGTAAGAAATTGTAAAGTTGAACCTGGAGAACATGAGGGACCAGCGAGACTATCTGGAATTCCATTTCTTGGCTTGCTGCAGGTAGGCAAGATTTTTGTGATCTGTGCAGACAACAATGGGATTTTCGGCCCCCCACTAACCAGTGACGTCATTCATCAAAGCCATCTTAATGCCCTCTCGATCGTCTACATCACAGGTGGGCCATTGTTTGGTTGGAAAGAAAACCTGCAGCCACACGGCCCTTTCTGGAACCAATTTGACATCCCTGGTCTACATCATAGTTTCTCTCTGCTGGTGATAGGCAACCAGAAATAAATGCACATGGGTAAAGTTTGTCATCAGTGGAAGAAATCTGTGACAGCATTGCCCCTACCCCTGAATCAAAGGCATCCACTTCAACAATTAACTGTTTTGATCGATCTGGTTGAATGAGGATGGGTGCAGTGGCAAATCTCTTCTTTAATTCTAAGACACTTTTCTCCGCTTTGTTCCAACTGA